TGTTCCTAGTAGCGATGCCCTTTGTTACCAGTAGCGTCCTTGTTCCTTCAATTCCTGTTCCTTGTTCTCTATTGTTCTCGATTTTGTGTTTTCTTGTATGATGTATCAGCTTGATTGAGCTCCTGGCTGCTAAGCCTTCAATGCTTGATGTAGTTACCAGTTTGTGCCTGGTGCCAGGAGAACTCACAGCCCACGGATCCAGGCCAGAGCTTGAGAAGGAATGACTGCTTTTGTGTCCTTTTCCTATTCTTCGTTTCTTTTTTCCGCAAACAGTTTACTGTTGGGGTTCTCTCTTAGGAAAAAGGACGCTGGCCAAAGTCTCCGGCTGCGCCACTGAACCCTGTGTCCGGGTGTTGTCCTCGTTGTCACCTTGCTGTCCTTGTGCCACGCTTGCGAATTTTGTGTCCTTCTCTTGTCTGGCGAGCCCTGTGTCCTTGTCATCCTCCGCCTTGTCCAGGCCTTGTCCGGGCTGTGTGTCCTGCCGTGCCTTTCTTCTGGTGAGGGCTCCTTGCGGGTCTGTTTCTCCTGTTTGGCCGCGTTGCAGTGCAGATTTTGTGCTTTGTCAACCTTGATTCAGATTTTGTGGGAGGCGCAGCATGTTCTGTCATATGTGTGCTGTCACGCGTGCTCTTATAGACGCGTGTCCCTGTGTGCTCCCTAGATCTCTAGACACTTCATTTCCCTCCGTCATCATCCACCATCCCCATCACCGTCGCCATCACCAATGCTGCCGTCATCATCGCCACCACCGCCGCCGCCGCCGCTCCCACCACCACCACCACCACCACCACCACCACCTATGAAGATTCACTTCAGTTGAGATACCGTTCGAAAGGACCTGGTTGCAAACACGTGAACGAAACGTTCGACCCGCGACCAGGTCACGCCCCCAGACCACTGTTGTGGTCGCGCACTTTTTCATGCGCTTGAGCCTTGAGCCGTGCGGTCGTCGGGTCAAAGACTAGGGCATCAGAAGGACGGTTACTAGGGTAACCGCCTTCCTATGCCTTGCTTGTGCTGGGCGGCCCGCATCGATCCGTGGTTCTCTCGGGTGCTGCGCCTTCTGGTTTGTGCGTGTCATTCTTGCCGCACCCTCTGGTTTGTGCGCGTCATTCTTGCGCAGGTGGCCAAAAATAGGCCTGGATGACCTACAGCCTAGCGAACATGAGCATGCTTATATTGAGAGCTTGAAGTGTGTGGCCGAAATCGAACTATACGATATGGGGTCAATATTTCTGACATATGCTTCAAGACTATTGTGTGCTCTCTTGGGTTTATGCCATGCTCAAGATATCCCGCATAGCCGCCAGCGGGATCCGTGGCGATTTCAAGCATGTGTTTCTGCGCTATCCACCTGTGAGGCTTGAAGAGTTTCTGTAAGCTCTTGTTGGCTATTTCCCAAACATCACAAGTACAAAGCATCTCAACTAACATGGTAACTATACTATCTCGTACTGAATTTGCTCGAAACCGCTATTGAAACGTCATGCATCTCAAGCGAACAGGCATCTGGGAGCGAAGACGATCAGAGTGCCACATGCCATTTGAGTCCTTGTGCAGAGGTGCTATCTTTACCTACTTATTTGGGAACCATCAAGAGTCCAAGTCACTTTCTTAGAAAGTCCATGTTCATACCCTGATTGAAGTCCAAGTTCAACAAACTCAACGGAATGCACATTGCTTGCAAGGGCTCACGATCACACCCACACTGCTTAGCTGACAATGCATGCTTCCGTTTGGATACAGGCGATGCAGCTTAGTGGGATCGGCGCCAGAGAATGCAAATCGATCTTCCCGAACGAGCGGCGTTGATCCCAAGCAGCGAGCACAGAACCTCAGGCCTTGGTGGAGTTCAGAGCTGCTCTTATGTTTCAGCATCCCGCGCGAAGGGACATGGAATGCCTTGCCAGCCCTCTTGGTCATGCTCCACTCTCGGCCAAGCATTTCCACACTGCTGCTTTCACCATCTGTCGAAGCTGATGGCGCGGATGGGCTCTTCTGTGGGGATGGCGACAATGGACATGAAGGGATCATGCCAGGAGATGCTGTATCCCCATGGTCCACAGTCATTGGAATTTCCACCCAGTCATTATGCCCATCGCGTAGTCCTTCAGGTTCACTCAATGGCAGGATATGTGAATCACTGTGATGTTTTTTCTATCTTTTGAGGAACCTGCCTGTGCATTCTTTCCCATGTAGCCCTTAGTCTCTGTCTTGTCTTCTCCCTTCACATGGATGTCGACGCCTGACTCGCCTGGTCCGGCATCTGAAGCCTTGTCACCTGCCGACTCCGAATTTGGTGGCCCTCCAACCCGAACAGTCACTTCAGTGAGGCTCTCCGAGTCGATATGGATCGCCGCTTTCGATCCTTTAGGCGCCATAGCTTCAAAGTTCGGGCGTGGTGCAAAATGAGATCAAATTGTATTCACTACGTGAACATATCGTAATCCAAGTCTTGAAGACCTAGTGGAAGCTATTTCTGAATTTTGGATGCAATGCCGGCGAAACACTTTGATGCAATGAGATCGAATCAACGGAGTTCATGACTTTATAGTATGTCTCTCAATCAAATCAAGCTCAAATAAACACATTTATGATTTCTAGTTCAATCATCCATGTCATGCCGCTGCGATCGAGCTTCTCGTCACGGTCCTGAACCACGAAACAACATCGGAGACGAACGCTGGTGGATATTTACCGAGACCTTCCAAGCTCTGGCTGTTCAGTGGCATGTGCTTTAAGCAGGTGCACTGACGTGGAGCGAACATGACAATGCTGCTAGCAATCCGGTACAAATGCTTTGCTGTGACAGTCACTTCATTGTCGTAGCTACATCGTGGAACATCACAAACATACCTCAGCCCCCACATTCGGCAGTACGCCTGGACCGAATTGTGACTCCAATAGCTGCAAACCTTCGACAGCTCGAGACACTTGATTTGTCCACGCTCCATGATTGGTTCACAGGCGGTCATCAAATCAAGAAATTCCTTCAAGCGCTGCTCCTGAATCTCGGATCGGCGAGGTGGTTGAATTAAGTTCAGGATAGGACAGCCGCCGGTGCACGGTGGGCTGCACCAACACAAGACCAACAAGTCAGGGTGATCTGCGCGAACAATGGTCACCAGTGAACTAAACATGAACCAACAAACTTCACATCAAACTCCTTGGTTACCGAGACGATCCCAATTGATTGGAACTTCTTCAAATGCATCACTTGGGCAAACCCGGAGTCTGTTGAAGTGAAAATGTCAACCAACACTCGATCGATTTTATGTGAGCGGACTGCGGACCCGATCTTCTGGAGGAGCATGCTGAACTCTTTCAAAGCTGTCTCTTCAACCGACAGAACCTTCTCTGTCGAAAAAGCTGAGGACATGCTTGCGGGCAACTGTTCGTCAGTTGGCTTGTTTTGATTCTTGTTTTACCTTCTTCTGAAGTTCTTTTCCAGTCATCCTTTGCCAAAGCTCTGCCCCCAAAATCTCTAGGATACCCATTTCACGGCGATGAAATTCGGTGTCTTCTCGTCCCAAGATCTTGGTGAGGAGGTCGCTCAACCATTTCTTTCCAGGAACCCATTCTAAATACACACGATGAGATTCAACAAGGGATTGTATGAAACAAATTGCAAGTGCCATATGTCGAACCCGGCGAGTCAACCCTTGGTTGTGCAATGCAGCAAGGCAGCTCTGGCTGTCAGAAAACAAAAGAACCGCAACCGAAGAGCGATCTCCTGTGCTCCCGACTTGATCGAATTTCAGCTCTGCCAAGCGTGGGTCGATGAACTTCTCCAGTTCAGTGGGTTCGGACAAATGCTCAAGGAACTCACACACATGAGACCGATACACTCTTGGGCAAGTTGGCACATAGCGATGACTTCAGCTTCACATGATGAAAGGGTCACACAACCCTGAACACGACTGTACCCTTTGATATAACTTTACCTTTCCAAATCACCAACCCACCTGATACCGATCTGCGTTTCTCGAAATCAGAACTTCCCCATGAAGCGTCGCTCACCCCGATCAATCCGTCGTATTCTGGAAGCACAGTGCCTTCTGCAGGAAATAGTTGAAACAAATGCGCTGTTCCCCGAACAAACCTGAGATACTTCCTTGGCCGGTGGCCAACAGTGACAGGAATCTTGCATGATCAGGTCGGGACTGGCACCACCATGCTAGCTTTCCAATGATCTTTTTGTATCGGGCGGCTGCTTCATCGCTAAGT